TATTATGTTTTAGGTATGTTTCTTTCCAAGACCTTTATCATGAAAGGATGTTGTATTTTGTCAAAGGCTTTTTCAGTATCTAATGAGATGATCATGTATTTTTTTTCCAGTTTGTTTATATCTTGGATTACGTTGACAGATTTTTGTATGTTGAACCATCCCTGCATCTCTAAGATGAAGCCTACTTGGTCATGGTGTGTTCTTGCATTTGGTTTGCCAGTATTTTCTTAAGATTTTTTGCATTGATATTCATGAGTGAGATTGGTCTGTAATTCTCTTTCTTAGTAATGTCTTTACGTGGTTTTGTATTAGGGAAATCGTAGCCTTGTAAAAAGAATTTGGCAATGTTCCTTCTGTTTCTGTTGTGTAGAACAATTTGAGGGTTAGTTTTTCTTTGAAATAATTGGTATTAGTGCTTCTTTGAAATCTTGTGGAATTCTGCACTGAATCCATGTGGTCCTGGGCTTTTTCTTGGTTGGAAGACTTTTAAAAATTGTTTCTATTTTTTTTAGCAGTTATAGTTTAGCAGTTATATTTAATTTGCTTATCTGGTCTTGATTTAAATTTGGTAAGTGATTTATCCAGAAAATTGTCCATTTCCTTTAAGTTTTCCAATGTTGTGGTGTATAGGTTTTTGAAGTATAACCTGATGATTTTCAGGATTTCCTCTGTATCTGTTGTTATGTCCCCCTTTTCATTTTGTTGATTTGGATATTCTTCCTCTGCCTTTTGGTTAGTTTTGATACAGGTTCATCCATTTTGTTGATATTCTTGAAGAACCAACTCTTTGTCTTATTGACTTTGTATTGTTTTCTTTGTTTCTATTTTGTTAATTTCAGTTTTCAATTTGATTATTTCCTGCCATCTTGCCCTCCTGGGTGAGTTTGTTTCTTTTTGTTCTAGAGTACTCAGGTGTTGCTCTTTGTAGTGTTGTGTGTGTTCTTACCTTGTCTACACATCTTTTCCTTTGATTGGTATAGTTGGGGCTGTTTGTGTCTCCTTTGATCACTTTTCCAGGTACTAGTGGATCCAAGGTTCAGATGGTTGCTCCTCATGATAGAGTCCAGGCCATGGTTCCAGACGTTACTTGACATTTTCGGAGGTTGCTTGGTGCCCCTGAAAGCCACTCTGCAATCCTGGAGGTAATTCAGACCTGCTCCCATGAAGGTAGCTGGCTTGGGCCTCTCATATGGAGGTTGATGGCTTAGTCCTGATTTTGTGGTGGTGGTTGGCTTGGGCCTGCACCTGTGGAGGTTGTTGGCTAGGGCATGCTCTGGAGAAGTTTGCTGGCTTGGGTCTGCTCTGGTGGAGGTTACTGGCTTGGGCCTGCTCTGATGGAGGTCACTGGCTTGGGCCTGCTCTGGTGGAGGTCACTGGCTTGGGCCTGCTCTGGTGGAGGTCACTGGCTTGGGCCTGCTCTGGTGGAGGTCACTGGCTCAGGCCTGGTCCCATGGAGGTTGCTGGTCTGAGCCTGGTCTCACAGAGATCACTGACTTGGGCCTCCTTCCACAGAGGTAGCTGACATTGCTGATGTGTTTTAACGATGTGGTTTTTTTTCCCCTGTGCTTTAGACGTGCTCTTGTTGCTCATTTCCTTTAGATTGAAGAACATATTATCTAATCTGTAAAGTGAGCTGACTTGCAAAGCATTTCTTTTTGTGTTGGTTTTTATTTTGTCTTTGGAGATGTCGGTTCTGTTGCTGTAAACAAGATTATCTTCTTCTTTCAGAGTGACTGCTGCCCACTGCTTTCTAGGACCCACCGTTTCAGACGGGGCAAACTGGTTAGCTGCTGCAGAGAGTCATGCTACTTCTTGCTGGCTGTCAATCCTAGAATTCCCATTGGAGAAACAAAATCCCTGAATTCCTTGCTTCACTTCACACATGACTCCTTTAGCTCTCTTAATTCGGCACTAAGAGCTGCCTTGAAACCTACATGTGCTCCTTACCTGTGGCAGGGTCGTCGCTTCCCTCTTTCTGTCATGTGCCAGTCACACTGTTGTCTCTGGGTGTAATGCTTTATTAAAGATGCCATGTTTTCAAAAATGAGTGTTTCTCCTCCCAGATATTGACTGGTTCCTACCGTTTACTTTCCAAGAGATTTTATTTGCTTGCTTGTGATATGGCTGATGCATCCGTCGTGAGCCATATCTTTGCACAGATAGCTTCTGATGTCGCTTGCTTGGATTTTAGAAAGTTGGGTTTGTATAGCAGTTGAGATGACAGGGTTCGACGTGGTTGGCTCTGAATGCTTTGCCCCCCCCCCCCCCCGCTGTCTCTTAGCATCACGCTAATGGTTCAGCATCCTCCTCCGCTAGCTCTTCCGCTCTCGTTTTTTATAACTCCGGTGGCATACTTCCCCTGCCATCTGACCCGATTAAACGTTGGCCTTTCTGCGGGGCTAGGTTTAAGACCAATGTTTGAAGTTTGTTTTGATCCTAGTGGGTGGGAGTTGTGCTTGCTCTGCTTCCTGTGTCTTCTGGTAAATAGCCAGGCTTCAGCTTAGCTTTCTTTTGGTCTCACGTAGATTCCAGTATCCTCTTAATTGCTCATTCTAGTATTCTCCTTTTTCTAAGAATGCACTTAGTGTGAGTTTCTGTTCTTTTTGGAGGGGGTTTATAGTGCTTTCACTCTAGTCCCGCTCTCCCCCACTATGGACAATTACTCCTGCTCTGAAGCTGTGGAGCACTATGGAGCCTCTTCTTTTGGAGTGACACCCTCGACATTGTGCTGCCACTAAAACAGAGCCTTGAAGATTTGAGCTGTGGTTCTGCCTGTCTTTCCCTGGTGTAGAGATTTTGCCCTCGATGTGAACAGGAGAACATCTGGGCACATGGCACAGTTTCAGAGTCTCTACAAGTTGCTGAGGGGACCGCTGCTTTTCTACTTTTTCCAGTATGAGCTGGAGCTGACCCCAACCCCTCTCCCCACCCGCCTCTCCTTCTCCCCCTTTAAAGCTCCACTGCCTCTCAGGTAGCTGCTGCTCCGCTGAGCTGAGGACGGAGAAGAAGAACGTCACTGCTTAAATGCACACACTTTTTTTTGTTACAACCAAGATTCAGATTTTTTCATATAGTTTTTATTGGCTGCAGACCTTTGGGACAGTTCTTATAGGCTCTCAGTGATTACTTCAAGAAAGGTTTTAAAGATGCATTTCAGGGGCTGGAGGGATGGCTCAGTGGTCAAGAGCCCTGGCAGCACTGGCTGCTCTTTCGGAGGACCCAGGTTCAATTCCCAGCACCTACATCGCAGTTCACAACTGTCTATAACTTCAGTTCCAGGGAATCTAACACCCTCACATAGACATACATGCAGACAAAACACCAATGCACACAAAATAAAAATAAATTATTTAAAATATGCGTTTCATCCTTTTAATTTCCATTTCATTGGGAAAAGTCTATGATGCTTTTTGCCCTCCCATTTTGGATATCACACATTCTCTCTTAGTTTTTTTTTTTTTGTTTGTTTGTTTCTTTTCTTTCTTCTTTTTTTATGGTCTGGCGTGGAACTCTAGTACTGTCTATAGGTAGTTGACATGGAAATTTAATATTGTTCTTAAAAATTAGAGTAATCGTGTTTCTTTTCCATTGGGTCCTTAACCTCTATGGTAGGTGTTGACACTGTTTCCCCTCACCATTGGCTGTCTCACTTTTGCAGTTGTATCTAGGCTCCACATTTTGACCTGATGTTCTGGAAACATTGTTGCAATTATAAACCATCTCCTTGGTTCATATATCAGCTCTGTTTTCATCCCACTGGCTGTGACTTCTGTGAACTAGCATGCAGACCATGTTGCTCTGGTGATGATGTCCTCTTCTGTAAAGGAGCACGTAGACCATGTTGCTCTGGTAGTGTCCTCTTTAGAGCAGGCTCCTCTATTTGTTCATTCCTGTCATGGGCTGGGACTGGCGTCTTACAGTTCTCTGAAGAAATGGCATGTTGAAGATACAAAGGGTTAGTTGACAGCCCAGCCCCCGTGGACGCTTACTTTGAGGCTACTTTACTGAGGTAGCTGTCTGGTAGGACAGTCAAGACCATAAGTGACCTATTGAAAGTAAAGGGCAGAGGATCAGGCATGAAGGAGCCATCTTTAACGTGCAGTTTCATCGCAGCCCTTCATAAGCCAGAGCTTTCCTCGTAGGAATGGAAATGAAGGGATGCGTGCCATGCCCGAGGAAGTGCTGCCTGGACATTGTGTTTGAAAAGAGCTGTTTGTGAAATGAATTAGAGCAAGACATAAATTCATTGCTATTCAGGTTGTTTAGTCTCAAAGTCGTGATCCTGGGGAGTTTCTTCCTTTAATGATCCAATGTGTAAATTAAATTTTCGGAAAGCACACTCATTTCTAAGCATTAATTTGAAACTCATTTTAATTGTTTCACAATAGTCTCTCTATCCCTCCCAACTTCAGGGAAAACCCAATTGTCTTGTAACCTTCTTTAGAGAGTTTGATCTCAGTGGCTTACGGTGGAAAGGGTTGTGCATTTTATTTATTTATGGATGTGTGAGGGTGCACGTGACACCATGTGCGTGGGAAGGTGAGGGGCCTGTCCGTGGGAAGGTGAGGGGCACGCCCGTGGGAAGGTGTGGGGTCAGTCTGTGGGAAGGTGAGGGGCCCGTCCGTGGGAAGGTGAGAGGCCTGTCCGTGGGAAGGTGAGGGGTCAGTCTGTGGGAAGGTGAGAGGCCTGTCCGTGGGAAGGTGAGGGGTCAGTCTGTGGGAAGGTGAGAGGCCCGTCCGTGGGAGTCTGTTTTCTTCTTCCACCATGTAAGTGCCAGGGTCAAACTCAGGCCACCTGGATTGCTCACAAACATATTTCTTTCCTTGCTGAGCCATGTTACCTGCCTGATGTGGGAAAGCAGTTGAACATACAATGAAAATGGTATTTCCATGTTGAAGTGCATGCCTGGCTTTGCTATCCTATGAAACTGTTTTTTAAATTTTAGCTATCAGTTGTGCATTGAGCAAGTGTTTGCTTAGGTGCTTTCTTTTCCCTTGTAGGCAGCAGGAGCAATTCGGCCTCTGGTGTCCACCGTCATCAGTCCCTCTGCTGACGGCTGCCTGGAGCACTCACTGGACCGTGCCAAACACAGGGCCAGTGAGATGCCACAGGCTTTCCTCTTTGATGTGATCTACAAAGCATATCAGCAGGTAAGAATCGGGCTTTCCAAAAGCTACCACTCTGTTGTGCCCTTTGAAACCGCATCCACGTTCGAATTTCTAGAAAAACCCGCAAGACTCAGCATATTGTTGTGCTCCAGGGCGGAGTGTACCACAGGCGAGCAATGAGAGTACTCTATTGGTGTAGAACAGACATGCAGGCATGCAGGGAGAATTCCTTTGGAAGCGGCTGAAGCTCTCTCCTTCTTTTGATGGGTCACAGACAGCAATTCTGGAGCACTGGAAATGCAGAAACATGTGTGACACCTAGAAGTCCGTTAGAGGCTCAAAGCCCGTGGTTGTAGGGTGGTCACATAGGTTTCCTCTGGCTAGCACGTGCAGAAATTCCACATTTGCAGGAGGAATGCAGGTGTTTACTGTAAACAGGGCTGTGCATTCAGATAATTCCCATACCAGGGTCCCTAAACACTGGTCTACACACGCCTTATAAACAGGGCTTCATGAGGATAAATTTTCTGCATAGAGATCTAGACATCTTAATTAAATATTTAAGTTAAGTAACTATAAATATGTCACCCCCACAAACTGACACTTGGGTATCTGTATTTTTTCTTTCATTTGGAAACCTTCTGTACTTATATAATTTTATTGCTAATTTACATATGTGAATAAGTCATTACTGAGTATCACAGTCAATTTCTCAGAAACTTCTCTGTAAAATAAGGTGGAGTAACTCAGTACTCAACTGGCATTGGGGAATCCGTGAATGTGTTGAGAGAGTTGGGCAGTTCAGGTTATAGGGTAATGGTAATTAGGTTACAGAATGGTAGTGGTTATTCATATATATATATATATAAATTATAAACTGTTTGGGCTATAGTTCAGACTTATTACTAACTAGCTCTTACATCTAAATTAACCCATTTCTACTATTCTACGTATTGCTATGTGGCATGGCTTTTACTGGTCTGCTGCCATCTTGTTTCTTGGGTGGATGCTTTCGTGTCTCTTGACTCCGTTCCTCCCCATCCAAGTCCTCTATTGGATTGTTCTACCTAACCCTCTCCTGCCTATCTATTGGTCAAAAAGCTTTCCTTATTAACCAATGGGAACAATATACACTTATAGTGCATAGAAGCATTCCAAAGGCTATCATTCTGTGTTGAGGAGCAATTACAAAATCAAATTATTTCCTTTAAGCAGAAGCAGTATGGGAACCAAATTACTAGTTGTTTCAGGATGACAGTTTTGATATACAAACATCCTGTAAACAGAAGCAGATTGGCTTCGTGAACATCCAAAATTCTTTCAGCACCAGGTAGAAAGATGGTATTGACTAGAACTTGGATGATGGCCAATTAGACCACAGTTTGTTAGAGACCATGGGCTCTGCACACTTTTTTTTCCCTTTCTGTGCAATCACAGAACTTATGCTAACATCTGTAAGCAACAGCGCTTACTTACCAAGCCAGAGTTACCTAATTCTGGTCTGTGAGAATGTCATCATCAGGCCTGGGTTGGAGGGGTCACAGCAAGATTGAGGCTGAGCCAAGTTTATTACAAGCAATCAGACTTTTTATACCTGTATCAGAAACGATACAATGGCAGTTGTCAGGATCAAGACAATGGTAGTTGCTAGAATACCATGATGTTTGCAGGCTGTACAGAGTACACAAGATTAATGTCTAAGACTAATTGTCCTGTCAGAATTCTATATGCTTCACTGACTTCTAGAGAAGGCAGAGAAGCACGGGCAGCCTGAATGCTTCATTGCCGGAAGCAGTGCCTTGTTTTCTCAGGCACTGAAAATCATACAGTGGCCCAAGAGACCCAGACTCTAACCTGAAAAACCTATGACACAAGCCTCTCAAGGGAGCTAGACCAAGACACACGATTCCCTGCAGTCCCCCATTTTAGTATATGCAAGTCAATCTTTGAAGCAGACATGGAATAGCAAATCAATCTTAAGGCTATAAAACCCTCAGAATAACCAACAAAAACATTCTCAGAGACTTTCCTATGGTCCCCTCTTTAGAAGTTCAATTAGAGACTCAAAAAGTATGACCAAAGGCTAGGTTTTGTGCAGCAATGGAAAGGGCTAGTCATTTAACTTTAAATGCTGAATATTTAATATTCCATCATTCAAGGCCTGAATATCTATGCTTAAATTGTCATGTGACCGTATATTCCTGTAAGGTGATTAGGAATCTAACACCAGTTAAATTGAGAATAATTAAAATAAACAGGAATGTTATTCTCTTCCTAGTTAGCAAAGTAAAACACAGGACCAGGTGCATTATGCCAGGTATGTCTTAGCAGTAACAAACGCCATCAACAGAGACAATGTATCAAGGAACAGCAATTCTTCAGTCACACCCCCCCCACCCCTAGATTTCATCCTTAGTTCCCTCATCTGAGTCATTGTTGGTAGATTCCATTCTTGGCTCGATGACTCTGCTGCCCTATTCAGTTTGTTTTCTTCAGGGGAAGCTTCTGTAGACACCCATGAGCCTTTTCATTCACCTTCCACGAATCAAGTCCATCTTTTGGTGTCCATACTGGCTTTTCAGCACTCCGAGGAAACACACAAAGAGAGCCCCAGCTCCAATGAGTTGTTGGATCTGGGCCGTTCCATTGACCAGATACGCATCTCTCCAAAGGACCATGAACCTGAATGGTTATTTTTCTTGGCGGGGGAGGATCCAAAATGCTCATCTGCAGCAGTAAGACGAGATTTAAAATTTGGCTAAGCCTTGCTCAAATTAAAAAAAAAAAAGTATATAGAATAGAAAATAAAATAAAAACTAGAATGGGTATCCATACTAAGTTGTTCAATGGTTCCTTCCCCAAAAGATTGACTTTGATGCAATGCCTGTGATGTGGCTTACAGCTTATTGTTGGCCAAATTCCTGAGAAAGCTTGGCAGAGTACGCAGGAGCACTGTCAGTTTTTAGTGTTCCAGAAGGGCCTAGAGTAGTAACAGCTTTTAGTAAAGAGGTGATAACACCTTTAGCTGCTTCTCCTGATAGGGGAACAGCAAAATTGATCAATGAATAGGGATCCACAATGATGGGAACGTATTTAAGCCTACCAAAACTAGCATCATGAGTACCATGTATGTGCCAAATATGATCTGGCGATAATCCGCATGAGTTAAGGCAGAAGAAGGAAGAGAGAGTCATGATACTAACTTTTACACATGAAGGGCTGAAGCGTTTGTTGATGAAAGCATACATGAGATTCCCATGCTTCCTTTAGGTTGTTAGTTTCTAGGACAAGAGATAGGGATAAGAGGATATCTGCCTTGGTATTTCCTCAGACAAAGGTCCCGGAAGATTAGAATGCAAACTAATATGGCCAAAGTAAACTGGATTTTTCCACATCTGCAAGTCCTGCTGAATTAATTGTAATAAATCACCGATAGAGGTTCCTGATTAAGTGTTCCGTGCTGCTTCTAGACACTGTACTGCCAAGACCATGGCTGTGGCATCTGTATGCACTGCCTATGCAGAGGGTATCGGCTGAAGTTGTGACTGGTAGGACATAGGGTAGTGTGTTTGGATGTCAATCAGCAAGTTCACTGGAAGAAAAGTGAGTATCAACTTGAAAGGGATATATGGCCAAAGTCAGTTCTAAAGCCATCCAAAGTATTCAACAAAAGCTCCAACTGGTTTGTGTCATAAGGAATGCATCTAAAGGGCTAATCCAAGTTTTACTTCCACAAATGTCTTTTAGCATTTTATTATTTTTAGCAGAAAGCAGAGTATTATCTTTGTAACGTGTAGAAAAGCAAGAGGAAACAGCGCTCTAGCTCTCCTTAAAGCAGTAGCCACAAATATTGGGCACAGTTGAGGCACCATCGGCCCTTGGAGGACTGTAGCCAGAGTTAACCCTAGCAGGCCCAGTGTCAGCACAGAGGCTGGCGTGAGTCATTAGTTTCTCCTTTTTTCTCAAGGGACAGCTGGCAGCCTGGCATGTAGCATTAGCATTCTCATACACCAGGTGCTTGGCAGAATTCACCCCTGCCTCTCCGTCAACCATCAGGCCACAGACCACCTGCAAAAGACGAGAAATGAAATCTTGATATGGCTCATCAGGCTCCTGTCTAATTCTATACAATTCCCCTCTTTCTGCCATGCTTGCAGTGCCAAAGTATGGGTTTGTCTATAAGCCTCAGTGGATATGTGACCTGTTGTTGAGCATCTCTATGCATGGCTTCTCTTGATAGCGTTTCAAAAGGCATGGGTATATTATGTCATTGACTTCTCATAGCTTGGTCCTGACATCTTTCTGAACTGTCAGGTTTCCACAGTAAATATTCACCTCCAGTAGGACAAGCTTTTGTCAAGGTTTTCCAGTCAACAAAAGCATCCCCAGAAATAGAATCAAGACAAGACCAATGTTACAGAGCAGCTGGTCCATATTGCACACAAGCTTGCCTAAGGTCCTTAAGAGTCTTAAGGGAAGTGGGTATATAATTGCTACCTCCCTGTGCCAAGTTATTAGGGACTCACTGGGAAAGGAGAAAACCATTCCATCTCCTCTCCCTTCTCCCCAGTACAGAATCTCTTGCCTGGGAGACCTGGACCATGACATAAAAGGAATCAGTTCTCTTAAGGAGAGTGAGAACCCTCCCAATAACTTCAGAAAGGAGTTTCCTCCATGCTGCGTGCATTGTTTGCCTCATGGCCCCTCGATTGTACCATTACTGTCATATATCCGGGGTTGCTCTGGCCTTCTCCCTTGTAGAAGGATCCTTGTGATTTCAAGAACCTACTTGAGTAATTCAGGATAATTTTCTGTCTCATGATTGTTAAATTAACAACCCTTTGCCACCTGTTAACAGATTATAGGGATTAAAGCATGGGAATGGCTGTACAGGGAAACATTGTACAGCATAGTACACGAGATGAGGAATAATTAGCTGAGGGGAAAGATGATTGGTCCTATAGCTAAGCAGGTCGTATCCCAGAAATATTGAAGGAAACATTGAAGGAACTGTGAAGGAAATATTCAGGATAATAGGACCA